CCCCCCCGCATCCGCAGATGCGCTATTGTGCTCAAACGTCCGCTTCTGCGGGAAACTTGGTCGCCTCAGTTTCCTCCCTATTCCGCTTTTGCAATCACACTTTCGCAGAAGCAGCTCTGCTTCTGCGTCTTACACGTCACACCTACGACCACTGGCCATATCGTCCAAGACCGCATCTGCGATCCTCCTCTCGCACGTGTGAGTCCGCACCTGTAGCCAACCCCACAGCAAGTGCGATGACACCAGAAGCTGGAAAGCTTCAAGAATTCTCACAAGTCCAATTCTAGTCCGTTAACCACCTGGAATCCACCCGAGGCCCCCGGGACCTCAACTGAATATACCAACAAGTCCTATTACAACATACGAACATAGTTGAGCCTTCAAATAACATCAAACAATGCTAAAAACACAAATCACACCCCAATTCAAGCTTAATGAACTTTAAACTTCAAACTTCTATAACTGATGCCGAAACCTATCAAACCACGTATGATTGATTCCAAATTTTGCACACTAGTCATATTTGACATTACGGACCTACTCCAACTTCCAGAATCAGAATCCGACTCGGATATCAAAAATTCCACTCCCGGTTTCCACTCCTGGTCAAACATTTCAAAAGTCCAACTTTCGCCATTTCAAGCCTAATTCAACTACAGACTTTCAAATCATAATTCAGACACACTCCTAAGTCCAAAATCAGCCAAAGGAGCTAACGGAACCGACGAAATTCCATTCTGAAGTCGTCTGCATACAATTCCAACTACGGTCATATTCCTAGAGCTTAAGCTTCCATTTTAGGGACTAAGTGTCCCATTTCACTCCCAAACAAAAAATAAATCCTCCCGGAAAGTCACATAAGCATAAAATGAAATAGAGGGAAAAATAGATAAGGTATCGGGGCTAATACTATGAAAACGACCGACCTGATCATTACACCTGGAAGAGTAATGGGGACATAAGCGATATGTGGACAATGACGGTGAACTGTATAAGAAAGGATGTGAGAGAGGTATTAGGGGTTTCAAAGGGATACTCTGGTGGGCATAGAGGCGACTAGTGTTGGAATGACGAGGTTCAAGGAAAAGTGAAAGCAAAGAAGGAGTCGTACATGAAGTTAGTGTAGAGCACAAACGAGAGGCGAGAAAAGCGAACAGAGAAAGGTATAAGGAAGCTAGGAAGGAGGCAAAGTTAGCGGTCACGGAAGCTAAGACTGTAGATTTTAGTCGTCTGTCTGAAGAACTAGGTGACAAAGGCGGAGACAAGAAGTTATTCTGGCTGGCTAAGGCAAGAGAGAGGAATGCTCGTGATATGGACCAAGCGAGGTGTATCAAAGACGAGAAATGCAGAATATTGATGGAAGAGGCTCAAATTAAGCAGATATGGCAGACTTACTTTCATAAACTTCTGAATAAAGTGGGGACAAAAATATTGTGCTAGGTAAATTGGGGCACTCCGAGAGTTGCCGAGAAT